CATCCCAGCATTTACATAAACTATTTTATCATCTTAGTCTTACAGCTAAAATTTTAGATTTTCCTCATTTTGTCTTCTCAGACCCATAGACCAACACTGGATGTTTCTTCCATTCAGTATTTATACCATTTTATTTTATCATGTTTCCTTAGCTGAAATTTCCAAAACAATGTTAGTGAATATCCCTTTGTGTTGCTTTTCCGAGAAACATAAGCCAACCTTGTGACATACCTGGCTAGCATAAGAGTGCCACAGAATGTCCTAATGCCCCATATTCCTCTTACCCCCCCAATAGCCCTATACCTGTGTTTCACATCATTAATAATTTATGATATTTATGCCATTTTATGGTTTATATTCCATTTTAATCGTTTATTTCTGTAACTTAAACTTCCAACACAATGTTAATAATGAGGTGGTCTCATTCTGCATTCTGAGACCACCAGAACATCCCTGAGACCCTCCAGATTAGGCATGTTGTGAAATACCCCCAAGCATGCTCTGTGACCCCCACAAGCCATCTCAGAGACTCTTCTCCCAGTATTTACATCAGTATCTTAATGTTCTTTTCTAATTGCTGTCAGTTACTTACTTTCCACAACAGTATTGATGAGGCCTCACCCTGTCTTTCAGAGGTGACCTTGCCTTGTTCCATGTCTGTGTCAATAGCCTTAAATGCTTTTCTATATCAACAGTTTATTACTCCATTTGCCTATAGTAATGTAGTCTGCCAACATTTAGATCAGTTACTTCATTTTTCTGTCTTATTGCAGTAGCTAATCTCCAAAACTATGTCCTGGCAACCACCCCAACCCAACGCTGTTAACTTACAGTTTTTTGAGCCAGAAAGAAAAATGTGATACGGAAAAAAGAATTTTGGAGGGGGAAATAGAGAAGGGGGATAAACTTGGGAGATGGAAGAAAAGGAGGAGATATAGACAGGAAAATAGAGAAGCCCACAAACTGAAAAACAGATGAGCGAAGAGGAAACAAGTAGGAAGAAAGATGCCAGAAGAGAAATACCCATCAGTGTCCTCCTTCCACCCTCCTCTCTCTCGCTCCAAGGCCTATGATTCTGTCTTTCCCCTCCCCAGAATATCATCCGCAAGGTGAGTGGCCAGAAGTTCGTCTACAAGTTTGTGTCCTACCCTGATGTTGCACGGTGCTCTACAGAGGACTGCCCGCCCCAGCCTGAGGCGTCTGTAGCCTCTACAGTGGCAAATGTGGCCCCTGCTGCTGTACATGCAGCCTCTGGGGACAATGCCTCTGGAAAGCCAGGCACACCCAAGGGTGCAGGAATGGTAGGCCCAGGCGGTTTGGCACGCAGCAGCCGTAATGAATACATGCGCTCGGGCCTCTATTCCACATTCACCATCCAGTCGCTACAGCCACAGCCACCCCCTCATCCTCGGCCTGCCTCGGTGCTCCCCAACGCCACCTCTGCAGGAGGAGCAGTGCCCGCCTCAGTGAGCAGGAGCACCAGTCCAAACCCCTTGGAAGCCTGTCTGGAGGCAGAAGACGCGGGCCTGCCTCTGCAGGTAAGTTGGAGAGTCAGTGGGGGTGGGTAAGGAGACCACATTCTGAAATGAGGTCTGGGACTGGTAGAAGAGAGAAATCCTGTTAAGGGCCATAATGGTGGAAAGAGGACAAGACATGAGCTTTAGAAAGAGGTGGGGAGGAGAGCTATGCAAATCCTGAGAAGGAAGAACAAATGTGCTACAATTAGTAGTTACCCAATATGGAGTACATGCTCTGAGTGTAATTATTTAATGCACTGGTCCTTATTGTTCAGTGCTCGTCAAAATCAACAAGATAGCTTAGTAAGCCAGATTTCTGGGATCCACCTTCAGAGTTTCTGATTAACAGGATTTGAGAGTGGAATGCAAAAAGTTGCATTATTAATGAGTTTGAAAAAGGTGCTACTGGTCTTTAAAGTAGATTTTTGAGAACTTCTGTTCTCAAGACTGAGACTGATATCAGGAGCTCTTCCCCTATCAGATATTTACCCTAGATTTCCTTTCTCATATGAAGACCTACCCCAGAGAAAGTTCCACTTCCTTTAAGAAGCCCCATGTCCTGTTGGAGGACCTGCCCTAATAGCTAGTCATGTTCCCAGTACCAAGGCCCATCTCTCAGGGAAATCATTGAATGGCTTACAGGAGACAGTTTCTCTACCTCGTGATAACCTTTAACCTTGTGCCCTCTCCTTTCCTAGGTTATCCTGACTCCACCAGAGGTTCCAAACCTGAAATCGGAAGAGCTAAATGTGGAGCCTGGTTTGGGCCGACCACTTCCCCCAGAGGTGAAGGTGGAGGGGCCCAAGGAAGAGTTGGAAGCTGCTGGGGAAGTGGGATTTGTGCCAGAAGCTGCCAAGGCTGAGCCGGAAGTCCCTCCTGTAGAGGGTGTGCCCTCCCGACTGCCCCCAGTTATGGAGGCTACAGCACAAGTCTCCACCCCTGACATCACTCAGCCACAGAAAGGTCGGAAGCCCCGGGACCTAGAGCTTCCACTCAGCCCGAGCCTGCTGGGTGGACCAGGACCTGAACGGACTCCAGGATCAGGAACTGGCTCTGGTCTGCAGGCACCGGGGCCGGCACTGACACCATCTCTGTTACCTACGCACACATTGGTGAGTCCCTGTATAAGGGTGTGGCTAGCAGCTGGGAGGGATGGGATTAGCACATAATGGATGAGTGACATCCAACATAATAGGATAAATAAATATGGTTATCTCTGAAGAGGGTAGAATCTTCCAGAGTGATTGACTGTGCTGAGGCTTGGACTGGATGGGACTTTAGGAAAGGCAGATCTGGGGACTTTGTAGGTGTGGGAGTAAGACGCCTGGAAGCTTTCTGTGGGAGCTGTTTCCTGGGTGGTATGGGGCTTTATATTCCAGGATTTGCATAGACCCTGAGCTATTGTGATAGTAACTCCTGAGGCTTGAGAGCAGCCTGTGGGTAGAGCTTGGTTGAGTGTCTCGTCCAGTGTGGTCTCAGCAACAGGAAGTGGACTCTGAGGAGTTGGGAAGGGATGTCTGTGTAGAGTTTGAGGGATTTCATGGACATAGCTTTAGTAAATATAGTCTCAGTCTATAATCTTGAGGAATAAATCTAATTGAAAAAAATAAAAAATAAACAAACTTGAGGAGTGACTGTATAAAGTCTGGGAAAATGTAGTGGGATAAGACCAAGTTCCTTTCATCTTCCCACACCTGCCTTCTGCTCACTTGAGCTCTGACCAACCTTTCCATACAGACCCCGGTGCTGCTGACACCCAGCTCGCTACCCCCCAGCATTCACTTCTGGAGCACCCTGAGTCCCATCGCACCCCGTAGCCCGGCCAAACTCTCCTTCCAGGTAGTATTCCTCCCCGCAATCTTGGAGAGGGCAAGAGTAGCATGGCTTCCATCTATGACCTCTCCATTTTTGCTCCCAGTTTCCATCCAGTGGCAGCGCCCATGTGCACATCCCTTCCATCAGCGTGGATGGCCTCTCGACCCCCGTGGTGCTCTCCCCAGGGCCCCAGAAGCCATGACTACCACCACTACTGCCCCTTCTGGGGTCACTCCATCCATGTCCCTGGACTTCTCTCCAGCCAACCATCTCAAGGAGAAACAGTTCATCTGACAGACTCATGCTCTGGTTGTGGTGGGGTGGGATTCCTGGGAAGAAGGATCTCTTACACTAACTCATCCGTGGAAAACACCATTTCTCTCTTCTTCGTCAGTCCCCCAGTGGCCGCCCTTATTCGTCTCCTACTGCAGTGGTAGGGATGGTTTATTTATTTATTTTTTGAAGGCCACTGGGAGGAGCCTGGCCCAATTCTTTTAGGGGAGTAGTTAAGACATCTCCCCCATCTCCCTACTCTTTTTTTCCCCAAGGCAAGACAATCAGGGTCTGGCTGGAGAAAGACCTTTCTTTCTTTATTTCTCGGCCTGCCCTTGGGGAGATGAGGGAGCCCTGTCTACATATTGGGGTGTGGGTAGAACAGCTACTTTGTTTCATTTTGTTATTCCTGGCCATACTAAATGTCCAGGAAGAATTCCTATAGTTTCATACTTTGGGAGTCCTGGCCAAGGAGAAATTGCACCCTTGGAATTTGAATTTCCACCTCTCTAACCTCTCTCTCAGACAGCTTGTCCTTTTATCAACTAACCTTTTGGCCAGGGAGAAACATCCCTTTTATTCTTCTCCCCCTTGAGAAGCCATTCCTTTGTCTGCCAAACTTCCTGGGGTCCTGCCTGTTACCTCCCAATGGAGGGTTTTCTTGGGAGGTGGTCCCCGTCTGGGGGACCCCTCCACCCAGTACTCCAGGTCTCCCTGTCTCCTATCCCCTGCCATTTTGATAGTATAATCTATTTTTAAATGGGGCTTTTCAATAAGGGAGAGGGAGGTATCTCTTCCTATATCTGTTGAGGTGGGTGGGTGGGAAGGAAGGGATTTGGGGGGAATCTTCCTGCCACACCCAAGTGTTTATTTTTGATACCAAACATGTATTTTCAACTCCTTCCCTCCCAGCCCCCCAATTTCCTGCGGGCGGGTACAAAGGACCCTTTAAGTGTCCCTGGAGTTGGGAGGGAGGAATGAGGGACATAAAGCTGTCTTGTCTCAATTCCGGGCTAAAGAGGGTGGGTTCAAAAGACTCTGAGCTCACCTCCTGTCAGCACCAGCCCAGGCCTGGGGACCTGGGGCTTGGTGATTTGGGAGATGATACTGAACTCGTCTCCACTGTGTGTTTTATTTCCCCAAAATGGACCTTTTTTTCTAAGAGTCCCAGAGAATGGGGAATTGTTCCTGTAAATATATATTTTTAAAGGTGTTGCTGGAGGCTGCTGGCATTTTTCCCGCCCCCCTGAATGTCTTCATGATGAGTTGAATGTGATAGTCACAACTTTGTGTGAAGGGCAATGAGAGTGTGAAGCAGAGACTGATTGTGAGAGAAATAACATGATGGCGTGTGTCAGAAACCGTAGTTAAGACTGCCAATTGGTGATTGAATATGTGTGAGAGAAAGTGTAGAATGCTGTGATTGTGTGTCTTATGTGTATGAGAGAAGAGCAGACATTGTGACCATAAACTTTTGACTGTGTGTCAATATGAGAAATTGAGGTTGTGTTTCAGAAACTCAACTAAGACTGGATGAAAGATTAACTGTACAAGAGTTGGGATGTAGCACAGTGGTAGAGTATGCTTGCCTATTCCATCTTCAGCACAGCCTCCCCCGCAAAAAAGTCCTGAACAAAAACTTGCAGTGATCAGCATGAAAGACTGTTTATGAGAGGGGAATGAGAACTGCAGATAGTTAGTGTCTTACAAGCTGATGCTGAGCAAGACAGAGTGAATAACCAAAACGGAGTGTGAGAGACTGTGTAGCCAGGAAACAGGTAGAGACTGTCAGGGACCAGGTGTAAGTGAGAGGCTTTACTGTGAGAAAACAGGCGACTGACTGGTTGTGACTTGTGGAGTGTGAATGGCTTCTGTGCAAAGCTGTGCGAGGCTAAAGTGTCAGCTAAAGTCAAAGGAATGTGTGAGTTGAATTGTGTGAGAGAAAATGGCTGTATGTTATGGACTAAAACCTCTACAAACTGTGAGCTAAGTAAATCTTTCCTCCCTTAAAAAAAGGAAAAGAAAAAAATTGACTGAGGGCTAAGAGATACTGAGATCCAAGGTACAAGAATATGTCTCTGAAAACTTTTCATGATGATTGGAAAAAACCATAAGAAACGCAATAGCTGAGGCTAAGAGGCTTTCATTGTGTACATGCACTTGTGAACCTGAGACAAGTGGCACCCTGGCTTGTAGTGACTGCAGTCTTTCCACCAGCTCTGGTGATCCTGAGGGACTAAACTGATGTAGTAGGTCACAGAATTGTCCATGAGGGAGAGAGAAGAAAAATGTTAATGAGAGGTACAGAGCAGAAAGGCCAATAACAGTAGTCATGGAAAAGAAACTTCACAACTGAGCAGTGTCTAAGAGTGTGAGTCAGGCCAGAGATACAGCTCAGCAACACAGTGCCTGCCTGGCAAAGCATTAGGTCCTGAGTTCGATTCCCAGTACAAAAACAAAGTGTGAGTCTGTGAAATATTTCATAAAACGAAAGAGAGATCATATGTTTGTGAAAAAACAAGAAAAGAAAAAACTAGCTTGAGCCACTGAGACCCTGAGTGACTGTGATCAGAATGTGTGAGACACTTAGGAGATTGTAGTTGTGTGTGTCTATAAGCAAGCTGACTGGGAGGAACACAGTGGTGTGCATGACTGACACAGCATGGACAGCTGATTGCGTGAGACCTGTGGAGAGTCTGGCAGTAGTTGAGAATCAGTATCCGCATGTATCAGAAGTACACTAGGTGGTAAGGCAGAGTAAACGAGTGAGCAGGGTTTTTAGAAATCAGTTGTGTACTTATGTGTGAAACTCTGTAAAGACTTTTTACAGGCTAGAGCGCAAAAACTTGGAATGGCGAAAGCTGAGAAGAAAGCTGAGAAGCAGGTAAGGGTAGAGTCGAACACACTGCAATGACGCATGCTTGTGAGACCATTCACAGGAGGCTATCAAAGGCTATAATCAGCAACTGCAGGGGTTTAAATGGCTTAAGTGAGTAGAGGAAGAGAGATGGTGATTTTGTCTGTATGAAAAACTTCATAAGAGTCCAGTTAGTAATGAATGTAAATCAGTGACTATTTATGGATGTGAAAAAATGGCAGACTGAATGAAATGACTTGTTATTAGAGAATGTGACTTGCGTGTACGTGAAAAACTAACTAATGAAAAAATAAACAACGGGGATGCTGAATGAGTCAAGCCATGAGAGATAACTGCATGTGAAACTGTTAGAGGAGATTGTAGTGAGTCTGAGAATCAATGTCAGAAAATGACTTCGTGAGTACGTAAGTGGCATTGTCTGAGATTGTGTGATGGGATACGTACGTATTTCAGCTTGTTCAAAAATAACTATAGTAGAGGCTGCAAATCCAGCACTTTATGTATACAGGCAAAAAAAAAATTAAACATGAGAGAAAGAGACCAGTGTATTAGAGGCCATAGATTGAATTGCCAGGCCTAGGGAAGAAACCTCTCCTTTGTCTGCTGCCTTCACAGGCCCCTTAGATTCAGCCCTTTGGGCTGGCACCTCTCAGTTCTCCAAAACTTGAAATGCTGGGAATCCCCTGCTTTTTCTTGGGACTTCCTTCCACACCCTCTAAGTGGTCTGAACCAGACCCAGCCCTTGAAATGCAAATTATTCCATAAGGTGATTTATTCTCAATGTAGACTGTTCCTTTAAGCACTTAGTAATTGAATCTCAACTTTTGTTCCTTTGCTTTGTTCATTCACTTAGTGGACATTTATTGAGCATCTACTGTTTGCTGGTACCCATCTCCTGGCCCACAGACCCAGCAGTCAAAATACCAGACAAAAATCTGTGCCCTTGTGGAACTCATACTCAGTGAGGGAAACTGACAAGAAACACATAAAATACATTGTATCAGGTAGTAATATAATAAATAAGACAAGATTCTCACATTCTTGGTTTAAAGAAGGAATCTGCAGTCATTTTAATGCCTAAATGTGTGTGGGAGAAAAAGTGCAGGTAACGCTCATCCGCAGGGAATCCTGTAAGTATTTATGTAGTTAAGGAACAAAGGAAATATCGATTATAACAGTATTACCAGGGCAACAGGTTATTAAATAAAACAAGTAGGCAGAATTGCAGGTTTCTTGGGGAGTTTGTTTTCATAGGATAACACAGGGCTGACAGCTGAAGTCTTAGAATCTTAACAAGACCCCTTTGTTCAAGGCACACATTGAGAAACAGTCTTACATTCTCTGAGAACAGAATACATCTGTAATGGATACAGATATTAACACACACTTTATTGCCCCAAAATAAGAACGGTATTCTTTTTATTGATTTTTATTTTTTTGAGACAGTGTATTTCTATGTGGTTCAACTTGCTGGCCTCAAACCATTGTGTACCAATGAGCAGTACCCTTGAGAAACTTCTGTCTTGACCCCCCCACCAGATTATTTTATCTTGTTTTATTGTTTTATCTTGTTTTTGTATTTTCTCTGTGAATGCAGGAGAAATGAGGCATTGTCTTCTTGTCTTTCTCAGGCTCCTTTTTGTTAATTAAAAAGATTGTTTTTATGCTTTGTGGTGCTGAAGGATAAACATGGGCCTTCACTCATTAGGCAAGCAGTCTACCATTGAGCCCCAACCCTATCCCACAAAATTGTTGCTTTTACAACGGGCTCTGGAATTTCACTCAGGGCTATGAAAAAAAGAAAATAGCAGGACTGTGGATCTCCATTTCACCTACAAAAAAAGTGGGCTGAAGAGGAATTAATCATTAACAGTAAAAGAGAGCATGTGAGATTGTTTTCTGTAGCTGAGACCCACAAAGTAAATTAAGGATGGAGGGCTAAAATGGCAGTTCTAAAAGTGGTCAACCAGAAACTTGTTAGAAATGCACATTCAGAATCCCTGGTGTGGGACCCAACAATCTAAAATTTTATCAAGCCTTTTGATCCTGGTGTACATAGTGGAGTTTTTTTGTTTGTTTGTTTGTTTTGTTTTTGTCTTTTTGAGACAGAGTCTCGCTATGCAGTTCAGGCTGGCCTTGAGCTCACTTTGCAGCCCAGGCTGGTCTTGAATTCAAAATGATCCTCCTGCCTTCAGCCTCCTGAGTGCTGGGATTATAGGCACGTGCCACCATGCCCAGTTTACAGTATGGTTTAAGATCCACTGGGTTGCTGGAGATTTAGCTCAGCAGCATAAGTGCCTTCCTTGCAAGTGCAGGGTTGTGAGTTCCATCCTTGGAACCAAAAAAAAAAAAAGATCCACTGGGTTAGAGAGTGACAAAGATGTCACCCAAGATGTTCACTGTCTCACCTTTTAGAGTATAACTCTAGGGGAACAGAATTTTTTGTCTGGTCTGTTCTCTGTTCCATCTAATCCTGAGAGCGACATAAGGCATCTGATAGGTGCTCAATACATGTTGAGCAAATCAATGTAACAGTTGCCGGGCACTGTGCTAGGAACTTAAAAATCAATTCCTAATCTTTGCACCAAGCCTGACCTGTGTTGTTCGTGCTGTCCCTGTGTATTTATAAAAGAGGAAACAGGCTCAGGGACGAGTGGTACCTGCTCAAGGATAATCTGAAGGAGCATGGCAATACCCTCCTTTTTACCCCTGCCCCAGGGTTTGAAAATATCCTCAGCTAGGCCCCCAGGGGAACGGATATCCCCAAATGTGTCCTTTCTGAGTCCCTCCTCACACCAACCCACTTCCTTTTCTCACTTCCTTTGTACTGACCCCCCATACACACACATGCTGACCACAGGGAACCTCACTTTGCAGAAGGAGGGCAGGGTTCAGTCAGACTGGAGAATGAAGCAATTTCCCCAATCCATGCTTCCCCCACCCCATACGGAGCACCACACTCAGTTCATCCACACTCAGCATTGCCAGGGGCTTGACCAAGCCATTATGGTTGAGAGTGTTTCTTCCTACAGATAGGGAAACTAAGGCTCAGAAAGGTTGATGTGACTTACCCATAGTCATCTTCCTCTGGACTCCCAGGCCCCATTGCCCCTAAATGAGAATTTGTCCAAAGGCCATTGATTGCTGAAAAGTTGTTGGGTGGAGCAGAGTACAAGGTACTGGAGATTGGATGACAATAAAATAGGACTAAGGGTAACACAGAAAATGGGGAGGAGAGAAAAGAGGAGGAGGCAGAGAGACAAGGGAACAGCCAGAGCCAAAGAGGACTGCACAGTGCCCTCCCAGTTCCTCCCGCAGCAGGCAGGTTCCTCTTTGCAGCAACAGGTCAGCTCAGATCAAGCTGGTCCTCTCTGGCAGAGGTGCAGTGGTGTGCTCATCATGACTGCCCCAGTGCAGGTCCCTCAATCGCTGCTGCTGCTGCTGATGCTGCTGCTCACCCTGCCGGCCACAGGTGAGTGGGGAAAGGGACTGACTGTTGCCAGGGGTGCCCAAGCCCACCACACCCCTGACTGTCCATGTCCCTTGCCCTGATCCTACTACAGGCTCGGACCCAGTGCTCTGCTTTTCCCAGTATGAAGACTCCTCAGGCAAGTGCAAGGGCCTCCTGGGGAAAGATGTCAGTTTGGAGGACTGCTGTCTCAATGCTGCTTATGCCTTCAAGGAGCGTGACAATGGGCACTGCCAGGCATGCAGGTTCGGGGCACCTGGGCTGAGGGAAGGAGGAGAGGATTGTTACCCAGAACTGCCTGCTTTCTCTAGTCTCATGGGGTGGCCCCCCTGGGCTCCTGATCACAACCTTTAGTTCAGGGTTTCTTGACTTTGACACTATTAACATTTAGGACTGGGAGATTCTTTCTCTGATCTGTGCATTATAGGATATTTTGTAACATCCATACCCTTTCACTAGATGCTCATAACAACCTCTCTACACACACCAGTTGAGACAACCAAAAATGACTCCAGACATTGCCACATCTCCCCAGAGTGGTGAGGGAGCAAAGGCACCCCTGGTTGAAAATCATTCCCATAGTGCACTGAATTATTTGGCTTGCAGCTCAAATATTTCTGAAGGTAATTCTACCCTCCAAATTGTGATGACAACTCTATATATTGACTGCTCACTGTATAAAAACACATAAGGACAGCCGCAGAGCCCTAATCATGATGACACTTTACATTTCCTTGAGCACTTTCCCTATACTAGATGAATTGCAGGAGCTGGACAGCAGTTTGAGGATTCCTGAGGGTAACTCATCTCTTAATAAATATATATTTGGGTGACTATTGGGAATTGAACCTAGGGAACACTGAACTACTTATTTTATATTTTATTTTATTTTATGACACAGTGTAAGTTGCTCAGGCTGGCCTTGAACGTAGATTCTCTTGACTAATATCAACATGTGCCACTACGCCTCGCTCATTATTTTCTGCTTACCCTATATTCCAGATTCGTAATGAGGCTAGGACCTTAGGGATTTTTAAGAACAGCTCTGGGCCCCTAGTTGGCATTGGCAGGGGTGTTTCTGAGGGGGTCTCTGTGCTCATTGGGAGGATGGCTTCTGTTTTTAAGCATTTCTGTCTGCCTCTCACTGTGTAGAGTGATGACCTGTTGGGTTTCTGGCAGCAATCCCAACCTCCTATTGCTTACATTTGCTTACTGTGTACCTGGATTTGTCCTCGGGGATTTTCAAGGGTTAACTCAAGGGCCCTGGCCATGAAAGAAAAGGATATTTGCCAAGCACATACCATGTACCCGCCTCTTTCCATTCAATACCCCACCACGTCTAAGGGGGTAGATACTCATCAATCAAATCTTCACATTTACATGACATTCTCTCAAGTGCTTCTGGAGTCCCGTATGCCATCCTGTCTATTTGTACCAGGATGGGACATGTGCTTTTCTTCACAGGTCCCCACGATGGTCACCGTGGTCCTCATGGGCCCCCTGCTCAGTGTCATGCTCTGAAGGCTCCCAGCTGCGCCACCGCCGATGCATAGGCTGGGGTGGGCAGTGCTCTGAGAACAAGGCTCCTGGTACCCTTGAATGGCAGCTGCAGGCCTGTGAGGAGCAGCAATGCTGTCCTGGTGAGGAGCTTAGCAAAGTGGGCAAGCACTTCCTGTCACACGACTCATGACACTGGAAACATTGGCACAGAAGCACTGTGGGTAGGCAGTGTTGGATGCTTTGAGAAAATGAGCAGCCAGGGTGGTTGGAGGAGAGTGGCTGGAGGAAAAGGACCACAGTGAGCTTTAGTCTGAGTGACTTGAACTGTGGTCAGGGGAGAAATACAATCTTCTTTGTTTGTAAATAGAGCAGTCTACCTGAGGAGTGAAGCAGGGGAACCGGTATAACTACTGCTATAGTCTAGATGACTAATGGATGTGGGCCAAATGTGGGATGGGAGCAAAGGATACAGGGACAGTGTTACTTGGTGTGGAGTCCATGAGGAATTGAATGAGGATCCATGAATGGCACTCCCATTTCCATCCCATTCCCTTCTCACCCACAGAGATGGGCGGCTGGTCTAACTGGGAACCCTGGGGGCCTTGCACGGTCACTTGCTCCAAAGGAACCCGGATCCGCCGTCGAGTATGTAATAACCCTGCCCCCAAGTGTGGGGGCCACTGCCCAGGAGTGGCCCAGGAATCGGAAGCCTGCGACACCCAGCAGGTCTGCCCTAGTGAGTGAGGGTTGCCACAGGATATTGATGCGGGTACACAGGGTGCGTCTTTAGGATTACAGCAGAAAACTACCAGAGTAAGAGGACTTCAACATATCTAACCAACATGTGACTTCCCATTCCCACCACAGCCCATGGCGCCTGGGGTCCCTGGGGCCCCTGGAGTTCGTGCTCAAGCTCCTGTCACGGTGGACCCCACAAACCTGTGGAGACACGAAGCCGCACATGTTCTGCCCCTGAGCCCTCCAAGAATCCCCCTGGAAATCCCTGTCCAGGAACAGCCTATGAGCAGCAGAGCTGTGCTGGTCTGCCACCCTGCCCAGGTACACAAGGATCAGGGGGTAGTCTACCTCGGGTCCCTGGGCTGAGGGAGGATTGAGGTATCCTTACACTTTACTCACTTTTCTCCTCCAATAGTGGCTGGGGGCTGGGGACCATGGGGCTCTGTGAGCCCCTGTTCTGTGACCTGCGGCCTGGGCCAGATCTTGGAACAACGGAAGTGCGATAACCCTGTGCCCCAGCATGGAGGCAGCTTCTGTACTGGTGATGACACCCGTGCCCACATCTGCAACACAGCTGTGCCTTGCCCTGGTCAGCACCTCAAGGGAAGGGGCTGCTTCCATGCCTTATGCTTTTACCCATCTCTGCTACCAAATCCTGCTTCTAAGGCCTTGTTCCTGCCTCTTATTCCTCATGCCTTGATTCTACCTCTGAGCCCCCATTCCCACATGTGATCACCCCTACTCGCTCCCCCCAGTTTTCATTTCTTCCCTGAACCCCCTTACTGGTTCCCCACTGTGATCTGCATCCTGGTGCCCCCTGTCCCTGCAGTGGACGGAGAGTGGGAGCCCTGGGGTGACTGGAGTACTTGCACCCGCCCGCACCTGAGCGCCATCCGCTGTAAGGAAATCGTAGGCCAGCAGACACGCGTAAGGATCTGCAAGGGCCGAAAGTTTAATGGCCAGCGCTGCCCTGGGAAACACCAGGAAATCCGACACTGCTATAACATCCAAAACTGCATCTGTGAGTGTCCCACAGATGATACTGTGAGGGTGGGCACACCCAGGGACAGGGGTCTGGGTCTTCCAACTCTGCTGTGGACCCCATGGCCCAGCAGCCCTCCCTTCCCTTTTGCACTGAGACCTCCAATTTTGACTTTGTCCCCCCAGTTGGAGAGAAAGGCTCATGGTCACAGTGGACTCCCTGGGGGCTGTGTACACCCCCATGTGGGCCCAACCCCACCCGCGTCCGCCAGCGCCGCTGCATGGCCTCACTCCCCAAGTTCTCGTGAGTGACAGATAGAGTATATTGGGAGGGGTCATGATGTTAAAGGTGTGAGAGTGGGTTTCCTCCAACCCGGGCTTCCACCACTGGGTCTGTAGTCTTTACCTTGCCAAATGCCATCTCCCAGCTATAAAAAGAGGGGAGAAATTAGGAAGAGAAAACAGATACTGGGGAAAAGTTATAACCTCTCTGCCCTCAGTCACCCATTTAGTCACTCAGCCATTCTCCCATTCACTTAGTCCTTCACGTGCATTCACTCTAAGCTCTCAGTCACTTATTCCTCCACTCACTCACGTGACATCTCACCATGCTGAGGCACTCTAAAGCCTTTTTTGCAACAGTTGCTGACATATAGAACTCAGATCTCTGAATCCTCTAAGGGACCCAAGTAAACAAATGTGTGTGGCAAAGGGACTACCACTGTGCCTGGGTCCAGGAAGCTGATTGGGTCTTCCTGGGCAGTTACGGTTGAGAAAAGCATTCCTGACATCAAAACGAGGCAGGATCCTGAACACATGTGATTGGCCACCATATGAGTATTTTGGCATCCAGAGTGGCCCAGCTTTTAGGGTTGAAATACCCAAGTTACTAGGTTAAGTGGGCTGTTCCCAACTCATACAAGGTCTGCCATCTAGGATGTGATCTCCCAAATGTGGAGCTCAAAATGGGTCTTGAAGATAAGTTAGAGTTGTTGAATGGCAGCACACGGGCCTTGAATGAGTGAAAGACTGAATGGAGTGGCTCATGCCTGTAATCTCAGCACTCAGGAGGCTGAGGCAGGTGGATCGCTGCAAGTTCCAGGCCAGCCTGAACTACATAGCAAGAACTTGTCTAAAAAAATTCATAAAGGCCAGGGATAGTTCAGTGGAAGAGCACTTGCCTAGCATATGTGAGAATCTGGGTTTGACCCCAGCACCACAACAAAAAAGCTTATGCCAGCAATTAACAGTCACCATTTATTGAGCACTCAAGTATTGACATTATTTGTACCATTTCTGTTTCTGTGCCTCAGTTCCTGAAAAGACGAACAGCTCAATATTTTACAGGTAAAATATAGTGTTAGGCACAAAGTAGGCATTCATTAAGTTTCTTGCCAGGCATGGTGGTGCACATCTGTATTCCTAGCACTCTGAAGTAGGAGAATCACAAGTTTGAGCCCAGCCTGGCCAACTTATTGATTTAGTGAGTCTGTCTTTAAAAAAAAATACGAGGCTGGGGACATAGCTCAGTGCAAAGGCCTTAGATTCAATTTCAGTACCACCACCACCCCTCAAAAAAAACTGTCGAATGCATTCTTTCCTTCCCTGAGCTTTTCTCCTCCATTGCCCCTTTAATGCCCCAGACCCACAGTTTCCGTCGTCGAAGGCCAGGGTGAGAAGAACGTTACCTTCTGGGGGAAACCATTGGCGCAGTGCGAGGAGCTGCAAGGGCAGAAGGTGCTGCTGGAGGAGAAACGACCATGTCTACACGTGCCTGCCTGCAAAGACCCTGAGGAGGAAGAGCCCTAAAACCTCTCTCTCTGCTCTGCCCCCCCTGACATCCCAGACCTCAATAAACCAGCCTCTTTGGGCTCTTCTAAGACTCCTTAACGAAGGCAAAGCAACCTAGCCCCTGTCCCAGAAATGGAGCAATAGTATCTTCTAGAGCAAAATGTCAAGCAGCCAGTTGAGGGAAACAGTACTCTCCTTGGAAGTCCTGAAAGTGAGTCTCCATCCCAAAGCTCCTTTCTCTACTGCCCTAAGGCAGTACCTCACTAGGGCCCCAGGGCACCCAGCAAGTTCCTCTGCAGATCTCTGGTTGAAAAGTGTCTTGATTGGCTACTGGCCCTGGCAGACACTTCTTGATTGGCCAGCATGCTGGTTCGTTGCAGTCTTCTGGCCTTCTGAAGCTCTCTAGGTGGCCTGCTAAAGCCTCCCTGCTGACCAATTGCGTTCAGCTAACCCAGAACCACCGCAGAGAGGCGTGGCTAGCATTGGCACCCTGCAGCTCAAACACCTGCACCTACCCACTCGCAACAGCCCAGCTCCAACACCACAATTACAGGCGACAAATAGTTCCTTGAGGCGGGGGTGGGAGGGCGGCTGATGAAGTGGCTGTGATATGCTGTGAGCTGGAGCAGAGGCTGAGAGCAGTTACAGCATCCACAGGGAGGATCCCCCAGGGCAAACCCAGATGCTAATTGCTTTCACCTATGTCCATTTCACTGAACATACTAGCGTTCACTGTAGGTTAGAACTAAGGCTAGACATCTGAGGTGAAGGAGGGCTGGCAGAAGGAGTACATCTGAGCCAGGGAACAGACACAGAATAGGCATTCCTTTAGTTTGAACATTTATTTGACACTTAACATCTACTGTACACGAACAATAATGCTGGACATCAGGGGACATAGGAAGAGAAATCAAGAGCAGCACATGTCTCTCTAAGAAACAGTGAAGGAGGCAATAAAACACCACTGCTCTTAGCATTTGTGCATTCATTTACCACTCACAGAATGCCAAGCCCCCTGCGATGAGACACATGGGAATCATAATAATTATGGTAATAGCTGGCACTTAGAAAGTAGTTACTATCCACCTGGTAGTGTCTTGAAGCTTGAACACATTCAATCCACAGCAAACCATGGAAGTCAATATTACCCCCATTTTACAAAGGAAGAAACAGGCACAGATAGCTATGGAGCTGGGTGTTTTTGAAGCACCAGTGTAGTGTGGCCTTAAATATCAGGAGCAGATTTCAAGACTGTTTCAGTGGGTGAAGGGAATCCTTCTGTGCATGAAGGTTCAGAAGGTAGGTTTTTGGTGCCTGGCATCTTGTCAACATGCTCATTTGACTTCTCTGGGCTAATTTCCCATTATGTAAAATGGGCCAGTTGATGTAATGAAGTGAAGTTAATAATTGGTCATCTTGGAAAGACTGAACCAAAGAGGGTTTCCGGCTGCTACTACAAGGTGTGAGAGGTATGTGTTCATTGGTATGTGGGTGTGTGCTTTATGAGGTGTGTGTGATGCAGACCTGTGGAGCTGTGCAAAAATTAAGGGTGTATTGGCCAGACATAGAGTGCACACTTTTAGTCCCATTACTTGGGAGGTCAAGGCAGGAGGATTGCTGTGAGTTGGAAGCCAGCCTAGAATACACAGTGAGACCCTGCCTCAAAAATAAACAGAATTAAGGATGTGTGGAATGTATGTGTGAGGTTACAACTGTGTGCCAAAACTGCACACTCATTAAGATATCATGATGGATGTATGGGTTGTAAAAGTGGGTACAGTACTTAATGTGAACATGTGAGTGTGTGATTGAATCCTTGCACAGAAAAAAAAATTACTCGTGGAGCCCCTTCTGTACATCTATTCATACTTAAGATGGAGACAGTGCAGAAAAACTTTGCTTCCTCTGCCTTGGGGAATTAAAATATTTCTGAGGGACTCCTCTACAAAAATTTTTTTCTGGAAATCGAACCAGCTGGAAAAAAGGAAAGAGTGCTGGAGGTCACAAGTACAACCTGGGAATCAGATCCCTAGGAAGAGCTGCAGTCTAGAGACAGTCCTCAGGATCCTGAATTCAGGTCCAGAGGCACCTGCAAACCTGCAGCTGCTCCCATCCCCCAGAGAGGTCATCATAGCCCTGGTAGTTTGCTTGCTTCTGTTAATAAGCAACAAAGTTTTTAAAATTAGTAATGGAAGCACATATTTTAAAACACTGGAAAATGCCCAATTTGTGGGGCATCTCCATTTGAAATGCCAGAGAGGGCATCCCAGAGGGAGGAAGAACTAGCCAAAGCAAAGGCCAGGAAGTGGGACTAAAGGTGGCTGGGATCCAGGAGGGAGCAAGATGATGTTTGGGAAGTGTTTAACTTATGAACCATGAACAACTAGGGGAAGTGGGGATGAATCTGGGGGGGGGGGTTCCTAGACGATATAATCCAAGGCAGCTCCAGAGAGGAAGGGAGAGGCATTCCTGACAGTGGTTACAAGACATTCAAAGGTACCTTTTCCTTAGAGGTGTAACAGATCATCATCCCTTTTTATATATGAAACCAAAATTCTGAGAGATGGGGTCACTTTTTCAAGTGGGTACTGTAGACTTGAAGCCAAGCATTTGCCTACACTCTTAGTGCCTTGTTTAAACAGGCTGATGATTTAAGGAAGAATGAACAAATGAATAAGTGGATGATTCATCTGAAAATCCTGCAGGCAGATCCCAAATCTGCCTACTTGCATATCCTTTGCCACTTCATCTGGTTCACCATCATTGCTCACTATGGTCAAGACCCTTTCTAATCTGGCCCCTGGAGACCACTCTGATTCTATCTCTGGCCAGAACACCCCTCACATTGTTCTAGCCACACTGGCATCTGCAGTACCATCTACCTGGTACATTCTTTCTAAAAAATGTACACACCATAAACTGAACATAACACTTTGGAAATTAATTGGGGTTCTTAAATGTACTCATCTGCAAAAGGAAATTGTCCATCCACAGGATAGTTGTGAGAATTGAATGAACCAATGTATGTAAACAGTTAAGTGTTGGGTACAGTCAACAAATGATTATTTATGAATTTGTGCTTTTATTGTAGTCAGAATCTTAGAAATTTGATAGGATAGCATCCACATTCCTACCTCAGCCTGACTACCTCATTTACTCATGTGCACTCATTATTTGGCATCCTGACTCTCTCTGTGGAAAGTTATCGAGTGAAGAAGACAGCCACAGACACTGATAACACCAGGTTTGGGTTGTGTCCAAAGCAGAGGCATGGGGACATTTAACTGACTAAATGGGGGTGGTGGTAGTGAGCAGTTATCAGGCCTACAGCTGCAGGAGTATGTCTGTGTGGCATATCTAGGTTTCTCCATGGTCATCTGTGGGATGTACTGTGTCGAGGTGGAGGGTGTGCTTCTGTGAGTTTCTCTGGGTCCGTGTGTTGGTATGTTGCCCCTGTGTGTAGCATGTTATGCATACATGTATTCAACATGCTCATGTGATTTAGTTACCCTGGACTTATATGTCTGCATATATACCTAGACAAGTGTGTGTCCTCTGTACCTCACTTCACGTGTTTCCTCACTTTTATGTGTGTCATTCTCTGTACGTCTTCAGGACTCCTGCCACCCAAGGCAAGAGTGTGTACAGTACACCATGTCCACCTCTGCTTGTCTAAAGCTAACTGCCCCTACATGCATCTCTCGGTAAAGCTGAGACTGGACATGGGAGATTAATCTCCGTGAGAGACACTGTGTGTGACCCCACGCCTTGCTGTGAGGAGGTTATGTCTCTGCTGTTATGTCTTGAGTATGCCCTCTCACCTCTAAAATGCCTTCTGCCGTGAACGTCAATACTATAAACATCATATGGAAAAGGTCTTGTGTGTGAGTGCGAGTGAACATGAGGACCAGAATAAGGTGGGTAGAGGGCGGACTGCTTGACTATGTACCGGACCCTCTGGACAAGCACCCCACCCCCACTCCCCAAATTGCGCATCTCCTATCAAAGGGGGGGAAGGGAAATAGGATGCGGCGTGGCGCTTGCGCACTGCCAACTTCAGCACCGCGGACAGCGCCGTCGCCCCCGCCTGTTAGCGTGCTCCACCACCACCCCAGCACTAAACGCACGCTGACGTCACTCGCCGTTCCTCCAGAAACTCCCCTTCCCAGCCGCCTTGGTCGCGTCCGCACTGCCGTGGGTACCGCCGGACTGCACCATGCGAGGCGCGAGTTAGGGGGACACGGGCGCGACTATCCGCGCTGCGGCGGCGACGACTCAGCGTTGCCTCAGTCTGCGGCGGGCAGCAGAGGAATCGCGTCGTGCCTGAGAGCGCAGCTGTGCTCCTGGGCCCCGCGCGGTCCGCCCCCGCAGCGCCTGGTCAGACTGCCTCTAGGACCCCCTGCCCCAAGCCGCAACCATGAACTACCTGCGGCGCCGCCTGTCGGACAGCAACTTCATGGCCAATCTGCCGAATGGGTACATGACAGACCTGCAGCGCCCGCAGCCGCCCCCGCCGCCACCCTCTGCTGCTAGCCCCGGAGCCACGCCCGGTTCCGCGGTTGCCACTGCCGACAGGGCCTCTACCGCCGCCCCTATGGCTTCTCCCGCAGCTCCTAGTCCCGGGTCCTCAGGGGGTGGCGGCTTCTTCTCGTCGCTGTCCAACGCGGTCAAGCAGACCACTGCAGCCGCGGCAGCCACCTTCAGCGAGCAGGTGGGCGGCGGCTCTGGGGGTGCAGGCCGCGGGGGCGCCGCCGCCAGGGTGCTGCTGGTCATCGACGAGCCGCACACCGACTGGTAAGCCACTGCCGCACCTCCCCGTGGGCCTGGGTCCCCAGCTAGTTAGTTCCATGGTGAACGAGCAATTATAGTGTGCTGTTTGTGTGCCTGGCCTCTGGCCTCCTCACTCAAATTCCCTTTAAGTAATTATTTTGGCTGCTTCCTGTGGGCCCCACCTTTACCTCCCCAAAACCTTCCTGATGGATACAAGGAGCAATTATCAGTTGCCTGCTGTGTACCTCTCCTCCAGTCCACCTCCCTAAAGCATATGTCTTCATTAAATCCTATGAGCCTTCAAAAGCCAAATGTGCTCCATTTCTCCCACCTACCCTTTGCCCCGAAAGCCTAGTCCTCTAATGAATCTTGTAAGCACTTACTGAGTACCTGCAGTATGCCTCATTGAAGAGTCCTTCCCTAAGGCCTTGGCTTCAGTGAATATTGTGCCCTGTTCTCCTCAACCCTTGCCCTGAGGCCGTCTCTCTGACAGGTCTTGTGAGCAGGTATCCAATTGATACTGTGTCCCACACAAGCCCCTTCCTCAACCACCTTTTAAACTATTCAGTAAACAGTGAGTGCCTGCTGTGTATTCCACCCCAGCTTTTCACCTGTGAACTTTGATTGAATGCCTTCTATGTGCCCCAACTCCAGGCCTTCTTTTTGAGGGAACCTATTTTTGCCAAAGGATCTAGAAAGCATTTATTAAGTGACATGTGTCCATTTCCAAGTTCCCTCTCAAACAGTTTTCCTCTAGTGAATTCCATGAATATTTTGAACCTTCTGTGTGTGACTCATCATCAGACTCCCTAAGAGACCTTTTCCTACAAATATATCTGGAAAGCATTTATTAAGTGGCTCTTGTATCCACCATTCCAAAGCTACCTCAAAGTCCTTTGCTTTTGTGGATCCATCTAGCATTGCTCAACTGCCTGCAACATCAGCCTTCTCTAAATGTCTTTTCATCCAATATATTCAACAAGCATATATTGAGCATCTTTCTTATACCTCCTCCCCACACGCTTTGTCTAACACCTTTTCCTTCAGTGGCTTCATTCAGAGTGTATTGAGCACCTCTTGCATGCCAAGCCTCAGACCTCTCCACAAAGGCCTGTGCCCCCAAATTAACCAGTGGTCATATATCTAGACTTCCATATCATTTCAGGCACTCTTTCCAAAGACTTTCTCTTTTAGTCACTCCTTGAAGTATTTATGAAACATTTGCTATGTGTCTGATTCTGTGCCTTTTCCACAAAAACCTTGCCTCCCACAGATGGAGAATTATGCTCACATAGATAAACTGTCTTCATGCCCATCCTTCTTCCTCAAAGGACTTTTCCTCCAAGGATCCAGTGAGCTTGCATCAAATGTGTGCCCATCACTGGCTTCCTCTCCCAAATCTTCTCTTTTAATGGATCCAGTGAACATTGTATTCTTTTCTGTCCTGTGCTCCATTCTTATCTCCTTCCCCCAAAGACCTTTTACTCCTATGGCTTTCTTGAGCATTTCTGGAATGACTTCTGTGTGTTCGTGCCTACTCTCCAGAGACCATTTCTTCCACTGGATCCAG